AAAAAGTCTTACTTTCTATACTGACAGTATTTTTTTGCAGAAAGATTTCCTCTTAGGTTTACACAGCAGATAAACCTGAAGAGCTTTTTTACTGAAGCATGAATAGCTAATTCAGCTGTGTGAATAAATAATAGTTTAGAGAATCAAATAAACATGAAAATGTCACAGAAAATCAAGGCTCCTAAGTCTGAAACTGAATTACCTTCTGGCTTAGCAATTCTATCCCCCCACAGCTCAGAAGTTATATTGTGTATGTTTATGCAGATAAATTTGGATGTATAATTAGATGTTTCGTCTCTTCATTTGCACATAGAAGGGCTTTCCTACTGGCTACTGAAAAAACATTTATGCATGAATTTTAAGAAACAAAATTGAAATGAGCTCACAGAGGCTGTGGAATCTCCATCCTTGGAGATATTCAAACTTTGACTGGACACATCCTTCACCAACCTGCTCTGAGTGATCCTGCTGCGAGCAGGAGCCTGGAGTAGAGACCTTGGGACATGTTTACCAATCTACGTGATTCTGTGACTCTAATGTTATGGCATTAAACAATAAAAATCCGTGCAGTGATGGAGAAGGGCAAGATGACAAAGTAAGCTGCTGTCTTAAACCCAACTTCCATATTCTTCCTCTGTGTACAAAACACGTTTTTGTTGTTGCTTAACATCAGTTTGCAAAAAGATCAGGAGCTTCATAGCTCCTGATATCAGGAAATTTTTTACAGTGCCGTATTAACCTTGTACCACCCAGGACAGTCAGAATAAGCATTATTATCCTTGGGAAAATTAGGGCAGCAGGTCAACTGAGGCAAATTAAATGTCAGACAGTGTTAGAGGCAGATACTCTGAGCTTGTATGTCCCTCCTTCACATCCACCTCCAGGCCTTCCCACCACCCACTGAATTAACCATAAATCTCTGCAGGCTCTGGAATAGCAGCTCCCTGCGAGCTCTTTGCTCGTCGACCCGTTTGCAGGACAGCCTCTGGAGGAGAGGACAAGGTTCCTGATGCTCAGCTGAGATTCATCCTGCCTAAACTGAGAAACTTACGGTGCCGATACCTACACCTGAGGTAGTGCCTCCAAAATCCCTTCCCAGTTACTGGGAAATGCAAACTTCCAGGGCCCAACCAAAAGGGAGTTGAGACAAACTGGCTCAGACAACCTGGAGTCAGGTAAAAGCTACCCCAGCCCAAATCCTTACGTTATGAAATACTACAGGTACCTGCCTTTAAAACAGGGAAGTTTTCTAAGCGAGGGAAATGAAAAGAAAGTGAAGAATTAATTAACTAAATAGAGGTGATTAAAGTAAATAAAGGAAACAATTATCATATCAAAATAAAAGACAAGAAAGATGATTAAATGAGTCTTCAAAAGACCCGTGAGAAACTCATGAAAGACATAATATGCATTTACCTGGTTTTTATTCTTTCATGATTTCATTTTCATTTTTATTCACTACCATCTGATAATTGCAAGAAACAGTTACTTTAACCATGGGCAATTTAAACCATTTTAATTTTTTTTCCAGGGCCAAGAGACAAAAGAACCTATTTATTGCCTGAGGGGATTTTTACTAAAATGAAAGCTTAATCTTTCATGTTTTTTTAAGCAAAGGCTTTTAAAAAATCATTTCTAACAATGCTGTAGGGAGAGACTTCCATGGGTATGCAAAATTGAAATTATAAATTTACAATTATAAAAAAATTAATAGTTTGGGGGATTGCATTGTCTCTGTTCTTTCTGAATGAATACTGTTTCAAGCTTAAGAGAAAGTATTTAGCACATGGAGGAGAATGAGTGTCCTTAGACTCTGTTGCGGTCAAAGCTATTTAGTAAGAATGTATGAGAGAAAGATCATTGGAGTTTAATTTGTTTGGAAATACGTGATTGTATGAACCTTGAAGAAGGAGTTTCATACAGACTGAACAGTCACTATTAGCTGCTGAATATTTTTTTCTTCTTTTTGAATATATTGCAATTAGAAGCCAGCAGCAAAAACTGACATCCTCACATATCAGATGCCCTGTCGGTTCCTCACATCCTGGCCTGTTTTTCTGTGTTGCCAATGCATCAAAGTCGGTCTGACAACCACCCCCCCATAATAGTTTGATGCGCTGAAGGTTGCTAAATCTTATCTATGTAAAATTAAGCTGCAAGATGAATTTTAACTGAAGTAACCACCTTTTGGGGCTCTTATGACACCTGTCTACAAAGGACAGAACAAGAGCTCTTGGTCAAAGATTGATTCAGAAGAGATCTTCAGAAGAGATATAGTTATATATGGGTAGAAACATGGATATGATTTCTGTGGCTGCCATGGTGAAAGGCGTATTAGAAGTACATGCTCATGCCCATCCCTGTTCCATGCAGCATTTTGGCTTCAACAGCATCAAGAAAAGGATTAAATTTAAACATGTACCTTTGCACTCTCCTAAATTTGGGCAGTTTTCTGAACTGAGAAATATTAGTTTAATGCATTATCTGGAGAGACACAAACATTTCTTCCTGGGCTTAGTGCAGGCTTTGAAATCAGACAAAATAATTTACACTTATGAAACACAACAAACTGAAGTGTTCTATTAAAAGAAAACTAGACCAAAAAAAATACCCTCAAGGCCTCCAAATATCCACACACTGAAAGGCAGATTAAAATGTTTTTTGCCAACATATTTCAAGTTTTAATGGAAATACTTTGAGCTACTATGAAAAGCTTTATCGAACTAAATTCATTTTCCATAGAGCAGAGAAGAATCATTGAAGATATTATTCAGGTTTACAAAATATTTAATAGGGTGGAGAATGCGGAACGAGATAAGAAAGGTTAAACTGAAGGACATTTTAACAAGGCTTGATTTTAGGCTGGTTGTGCAACATAAATAGGTCAATGGACCCATTAGATATAGACTTTCTCTTTGACACACCAAGCTGTCTACTATTAGAAACACTTGTGTACAGCTATCTATCAGACTTTCAAAAGCAATTGTCATTCTGAATACACTATTTCAAAGACTAAGTGTCCAGAATTTTTTGAAAATAACACATCTTCAATGTGTTAGCCAAAATCATTAATCTCTTTGGAAAAACCTTGGTATCTGCTCTACAATACCACCCTGAGCAATGCTAAGCTCTAGTTATCCCAAAGAAGTATCTGCCCAGCCCAGCTGAAGCACCTTTCTAACCACGTGCCTCTGCAGACTGGGACATTAGATGAAACCACCTTCCAGGTACTCAAGAAGCCTCAAGACCAGGTTAAAAGAGGGAGCAGCAAGTCAGCCAGGCTGGATAAGAAGATCGTGTTGGAGAGGGAGAGAGGAAAATGTGAACCTTAAGGATGAACCTGAGTCCTGTGCTAACATGGCAAGACAAAGAGCACGACAGAAACATGCTGCTCTCTGAGGTTCTGGTGCTGCTTTGCTGCAGAGCAGCAACGATAAGGAAAGTTCATTCCCAGCCCCTCTGCACCGCAGTGCAGTACGTTGAGTTGCCCTGAGAAGTCTTGTCACTACGGCTCCAGAAATGCTGAGCATGCTTTGGGAGGACAGGCTACTCAGACATTTAACAGCTAAACTGCAGAGATATTACAGAGCATGCATGAAATGCAACATTTCCGCTTCTATAAACGGGTGACATTTAGACAGGAGTAGCGCAGAAGCACTGACACTGAGACTAGCCCTTTGCAAAGCATTAAGCCCCAGCTCCAGGACAGAGGGAAGAGATTGCTCAGGTTTAAAAAAAATATATCAGCAAACCAAAATTATTTTCACCCTGCTTCTCAGAGATGTTGTGAAGGAGTATTATTTTTAGGTCGAGATGAAGCTCACACCAGAAACAGGAAAATGCTGCAAAAACTTAGTATTAGCCAAGCTGCCTTCCATTTAACCTCCCCCCCAAACAAACAATAAAATTGCAATATAACGGGAAGCGTTGGCCAGCTTTAACACCCGGCACCAGACTCGGTCCCAGTTCTATTGTGCAGTGAGGACTGTTTTCCTTACTGATGAGCTCAAACCGTCTGCCATGAATTACATTTTCATGGGGAATAAATACACACTGAAACAAGATTAAACACAAATGTTCTTTAGTGGTGTCTAAAATAATATGAATGTTTTTTAGAACAGCAATAAACACACTTCATGATGCAAATAATTACACCCTGCAGCCTTTATGTAAAGATAAGTGGCCGGATTCTTGACTCAGCTACATCACTGTAAATCCAGAGTAACTACACTGAATCAACATCTCTCTCCGTGGATTCTGGAGATGCTGAATTGTTACTGAACTCTGGATTTGCCCTGATTTCTCTTTATGGTTTTGCAGACATGGGACATGCATGGCTGAAAGTCTACATGGTGGTCATGGAGGCACCAGCACCTCTTATCCTGTCCCTTATTCCCCCCCAAATTTGTCTTCTGCTTAGTGTAATGAAGTCAGAATCTGGCTGTGTATTCCTTGCGCATCTGATATCACTTCTGTAACTGTACTCTCGGTTAGGACCAGAAGAAAGCTCAACTGAGGCTTCAGCAAGGAAAAGAGAAAGAAAAAAAGAGAGAAGGACTTCACAAAAATTCATGATGAGTGAAGGCAATATGTGCATGATGTGCTGGGAATCAAAGATCTGTCTCTCGGGGATTAAAAAGAACCACCTCGGTTGATCTTTCTGTAGGATGGGAAGGATTGGCTCGTGTTCTGAAAAGCATAATTTAGCTTAAGTTTCCCACACAATTGTAATTTTCATGTAGAGTTTTGTAAGATGGGTCCATTAGGCTTTAATGGCCCCTGAAATGAGTCTGGAAAGGTGAACATGCCCACATTGAACCACTTGAAAAATTAGTTATTTGCTTAAAAATAACAGCAATAAAAATGTATTCAGCTATTAAAAGGGTCTCTAGCAATTATATGAGCACAGAACTCAGACACAACATGGAATCACTGTTTTAACTATCATCTTCCCATTTATTTTCATTTTTGTATTTTGAAAGCAAGCACTCTGCTCTTACCGGGACTTGTGAGGGCTCCCAGAGCACCAGTCGTTGTGGAGAGAGGATTTGCATTGGTGGTGGTAGCTGAGGTTTGGGCGGCGGCTGCTGCGGCTGCTAAAGTTGCCAAATTCTGTAATTGTAAAGCGTTCATGCCTGCGTGGAGAAGCAATAGGGTTAATTAAAACACGTAATTACAAAAAAAAAAAGCTATTTTCCATGGACATGAAGGTTTGGATGTACCTTGCCAAGAGATTCAATTCTTCTTTTCATTCCCAAGACATCTGTAATCTGGGAACCACCTCTTACAGTCCCTGAATAGCATCTCTCTACCTTGGAGTTGAGAGAATACAGCAAAGGCACCAGCCTGTACTTAGGGAGAATTAAACCTGGTTTGTGCCTCTTCTATGAGGGAAGTGTAGAATTAAAAGTCGTTTAAACTCTGTGTGAAGCCCAGGCACAATACTGTTTCCTGACACAACAGGAGGTGTAAAGAAGCTAACTAACGTTTAAAACACATTCAGGACAGGGTCATATAATTGGGATGAATACAATTTGTTTCCCATGTCTCCTCTGAATGTATCTACTAAGGCTACATAGACTGTACAGTAGCCAATAATTGTGTTTATTTTCCTTTTGATGGTTCATTTCTAAAAACACATATGAACGAAGAACATCAAATTAGTATCAGTCTGATCACAGAGCCATCACTGAGGTAGGGACTTTCAGGCCGTAAGCTCTGGACTATGATATCGAGTCTACTCAGTCATCTGTCACTTCAGTTTTAGAAGATGTGGGAGAGAGATACCTGCATTTCAATGAGGACCTTCAAGAAATGCATGCATTTAAATAGCAAAGGCTTTAATTTACATGGCAAGTAAAAAAGGACAAACAATAAACACAATTTATGTGAAATGGAAAAAAAAGATGATTAAGGAACAGCAAATGGTATTCATTTGACTTAAATCAGAGGGACAGGAGTCTGCTTCTCCAGAGGCCTTCAAAAGTACCTACCTTTTACCTTGGACTACACAAAGTACTTAAGCACTTACTCTAAGGTGAACTGCTTCAGTAAGAGACTAAAATGCAGATACAAGTTAGGTGCTAGCGTTAACCAGACTGGATCCTTCTCGGGATCCTCTGAATAAGATACAACTGTCCACAGGGGCGATGATGAGCCTGGGTGTCTACATACAGACGTGAGAGAGATTGTTTGGATGGCAGTGAGAGTTCATCCTTTTTGTTTTGGACACATGAGGGAGATCTGTGCATGCTGCTTGAGCCCTCAATAGAATTGACAAAGTGCACAAAACCCCCACATAAAATACTAAAACAGTTTCATAATGTTCTTGCAGTCCTGATAATATAAGTACACACAAAATATTAGGTGGTAGGAAGAGCAATGCCTTTTTTAGACCAAGTGATAGAGCTGGGAAGGCTGTGTGAGTTTTGGGGAACACCCAAAGAAGAGCTTGAGTGCCTGGAAACTTGTCCAATTCTTTCTGAACGTTAGTTTGTCTAACAAGAGATACTACTTCTGCCTGCATACTTTGATTCTCAAACCAGGGGAACTTAATAACAACTTGGAGAAGATGAAAAAAAAAGAGGTTAAACATAATACTTTGTAAGAATGCTTGAGGAAAAAAAAATGCAATGAAGGAGAGGTATTTTCTAGGAATTGAAAACTCCTGCAATAATAGCGAGTGATATTACTTTCAAATACCTTTTGAGCCCCATAAAGAGGTATTCTCACTGTCCCAGCATTAGGAACTCTGAGGTAAACCTTGTTATAAGCACCTATTTGTGAATAAATCCCCAAATTTAAATCAGCACTTGCCAATAGGCAGGTCAGGTCTCATGTGAGTACGTAGCATTGCTGAGGTTCTAACTTCTGTGCCTCAGTCAAATGCCCAATGTCAGCTCAGATGTTGGTGCTGTTGAAAATGTGACACAATGACTGTGTTAGGAGTAAGGTTTTAGTTGATCCAAGAACCACCACTTTGCAGTCTGGAATCTCCACAACACACTTGGAGGAATTACGTGACCAAAAAAGCTCTTTCAGGTTTCTTTTGGAGGCTAATGACCATCTTAAAAAACAAGGCTTTTCTCAAACCCTGCCAACCCAAACTATTTTGCAAGGCGCAATAAAGCTACCCTAGTCACAAGTCATTATTAACCTAGAAATTAGGTGTAACTACTAAGTAAAGTGATCACGGGTCATTGTTGCAATTTGGTCAGTCTTCTAAACCAGCTCTCACAAAGTTTAAGTGCTTAAAATACAAAGAAACTCTGAAATGGCAAAACTGGGCCTCAATTACACGGACGTTTTATAAATACTAAATAATTAGATATTGGATACCCAAATGAATAGAATAAAACTGCTTAAAACATCACAAACCTTGAACAAAGTCATCTTCTAAAGCAGGAGGAGCTGACTGAATATTTTAAAAACCTTTTATTTTTACTATCAGTCTAAAACTAAGTTTTGGAAGCAGCACCATGTTAACAAATAAATTTCTGAAACCAGAGATGGCAAGGAAATTCCTAACAGTTTTCAAATCTTATCTCTGGTTTAACTTGAGAACTTCTCAGTCAAAAAGTACAATTCAGATAGAAATTCAGATAGGATATTTTGCTAGCATAATTTTAATTTATTTTTTTAAATTGCTCAGTTGACCTACTTGCTTGCTTCGGGTGGAAAATTTTTTTTTTTTTTTTTCATGATTCTGCAGATTGTTTCAAACCGGAGTTTAGGGATGGAGAAGACTTAAGCTGGGGTCGAGCTCTTCGCAAACAAAGCCGACAGTGGTTCTCAAAATGAGATGTGGAATCCATTTGCATCCTGGATTGATATTTGGTCCTCAAATATAATTTACCTTCCTCTTTCATAAGAAGTATAAGTAATTCAGCAAAGAATGTCCAGCAAACACTGCTGGTCTTCACTGAGGCCACATTTCATGCCATTCCGTAATGGAGATTTGGTAAAGCAGTGGGTTGCTCTCCACCATGGCAGCATGGTTTTCTATCACCCACTGGTTAGTTATTCATTAGAAGGATCAGTCATAATCAGCTTATATTTCTTCTGTGGGGAGGTTTCCACTTCTGACTTTTAAACAGCACACATGGCAGGACTAAGTCATATTGAACAAATACAGAACGGTACCAGAGGAGAGACTGCAAAATAGCTTCACCTAGATGAAATCCCACACGCTTCTGGAGAATGCATGGGCTTTTCTCCAAACCTCAGTTTAGAAGCAAATGGATTTTGAAGCAATTTAATACTGCTTTTTCTATTGCATTTTATATGCACGGCTTTGTCCGCGCATGCAGGGCTGCAGAAGGCTATGAGCACAGAGGGCTGTGAAGCTGGAAGGCAGCACTGTAGAGCACTCAAGGAAAAGTACAGCAGGCAAGGCAAGGTCAACAGGCAGCGGAACAAACAATTGCTCTCTCTGGGCTCGTGAACCACCGTCGCGCCTGTGTGGATGCAAAACAAACACCAGCATTGCCTCATCCCACAAAAACATTTTTTTTTCCTAGTGGGACATTTCCTGTGGAAGCACAAGAGGAACCCATCAACTTGACGACAGAGTTTCAACGCCAAAAAAAGATTAAGAAACAAGAGCTAGGCAGTGACGAAGTCGTCTCCCCACCCAGTCTGTTTTACTGTAGAGGTGACTAAAAGACACTGGCCGCAAACCAGCTCTGCAGATGTTATAGGGTGTCAGCTTTGGTGCCTTGAGGAAAAAAGACTGCTTGCTGTTGTCACACACGCGTAAGAGGACAGCAAAGAGCCCCGCTGAACTGAGCACCCGAATGTGACTGTCAGCAGGGACTCATGGCACACACCGTCATCCAGCATGCTCTGGAGCTGATTGTGTCAACAGGTTTATCGCGTAATGAATCCTCTTTAGGATCCTCTGTCTGCTCAAACGTATTAAAAAAAAGTCCTGTCATCACTGTTTCACATTCCCCAGGCATTTTACCATCTCTGCTCCCTCTTTATTGGTTTCTCCCGTCAACTTGTCAAGTGCGTCAACATCCCACTTGCTAGGACAAACTTGGAGGAGGGAAACCAAATGCTCTCAAGTCCCAGACCCAAAAAGTACTTTGCTTTCAAATGGGGATTTTTGGTTCAGTTGAACTTCATCCAAGGTATAGTTCTGGGGGACAAATCTGCTCTCATTCTCTCCCCTTTCACGCACTGTCTTCACTCATTTCACATCCTAAAGCTTTTTCAAAACAGTCCCAAATCCCGCAACAGAGCTGGACCGCAAATGAGTAGATTGTTTTTATTTGAAAGTGCTGCTCACTCAGCAAATGCACCTCTCTCTGAAGAAATGCAAATTGCTTAACGCTGAAGAACAGCCTCATAGGCAGAGCTGCACATGCAAAATGAAAATCGCCCTGTAAGGGAAAAAAAAAACTTCTGGGTAAGGAATAACTCTTGATCTTCATGATGGAGATGATGTTAGGAATTAAAGGGAAATTATTAAAAAAAACAGAATCACAATACAGTTTGATTCCATTTTTAATAACATGTATTTACCACTGTGCTATCAGCTTGGCAAATATTCAAGATTGCAAGGAAATTCAACTTTCATTTTGTTATTTGGCAGATTAAGAAAACAATTAAATTATGTACAAAACAGATGCACAGTATGCCTTGCTTGAAACTTAAGATTTAAAAAAAATTATTTATAAGGATAAGGGCATGAAAATTTAATTTAATGTTCACCTTAGGTAATTTTGAGTCTTATTGTTCACAGCAATTACCATAAATCTACATATCAATAAGCGAGAACAGATGTCAGTTGTTACAAGTGCTTGCCAATCAGGCCTGTTAAAAAGTGACAGATGGATGGTGATAGAACATTCTCATAAGGCCTATTAGCACATTCGCAGGAAATTTTTGTAGTGCTGCACAGTCACAGATGCAGTTCTGTGAAAACACGGGGAAATTTGAGAGCATGAGATTTACATTTTACAACTTCTTGTGCTGCCTCCGACGCAAACTTTCATACAATGGAGCAATTTGCCTCATTTCAGTCGCCACAGCTTTTCTCCTGTGATAACTCTAAATTTGGAATTACTGGGTATTTGTAGAGGAGGTAACAGAGTCACAAGCCGTTCTTGAAGACTTCTTAGGCCTCATC